GCACACTAAGGGTGCAGAGGAGACAGCACTGTGCTGGGAGCAGGTCTGTGTGGTTCCTGCTGCTCTCCCATACCTGTTCAGTTATGACGCTGAGCAAGTCTCTTGGACCTTCAGTGTCCTTCTCCCTCCTCCTACATTCTTCTCCACAAGATCCTTCAAGCCAGTTCTTTTCTGTCAAGGACTCCCTTTTACTCTTTCTGTTTCCATGATCTCATATATCTGGTAAGGATGCATTTCTCATCCCAGTTTTTGTTCAATTCCAGGCTAGGATAGCAGAGGTTGGAGATCAGCCTCTTCCAATGGGCTCCCAGCTCCAACACAAATCCCTTTTGGAGAAGACACTAATAGTTGCTACAAAAGTTCTGAGGTTCCCAGTTGACAGCTAAAGTGGTCTCTAGGGAAAGGCAATTATTGCTCAGGTGGATTCCTAACAAGGCACCTGATCCCTCCCATGTAGGAGGAGAGAAGTCTTGCCTCCCAGTCCCAGCTCCCAAAGCCCCACCACACACACCCTGAGAGGGGTTTAAAAGGACTGAATCCCAGTTCTGTATGGCCCCTCGAGGAGTTAGATGTCTCTGGCTTTAATTTCTCCAGTTGAAACTGTATCAGAAACTGTACCCATTGCCCCCCTCACTAGTGTAGCTGTATCCTGATAGAAGGGAGGCTTTGACCCACATTATCTGGGAGGGCCAACAGGGTACCCTGCACAGAGAGTTCAACAAGATACATCATGTCATCTACTTGTCCTCTGTGGGAGTAAGGTGTTTCATTAAGTCTCTCTCTCTCTTTTTTTTTTTCTTTAAATGCAAATGAAACCATAGGGAAAACAAAAGCCTGGGATGTTGCCCAGAACAGATATTGGCAAGTTCTTCTTGTTGTCATGGCCTTTGCCAGCTCTCTGCAACTTTGTCACTACGGTATTTTTTTTAGCCCCCAATTCATAGATTTTGCTAAGTCATTGAATTTAAGATCTCAGTTCGAGAAAGAAAATAAAAAGATGAGGAAGAACAGAATAATTGTTCTCTTTGATAATTATGAGAACCAAGAGAAAATGGGACCATTTAATTCACTGATTAATCACTGTACTAAGAGTCCAAATGAAGAGCAAGAGACACAAAATGAAACAAAATAAAGTACAATGC